GACCCCGAGCTGCCACCCGGCACCTCCACGGGAGGGAAGGCGGCAGGCCGGGACGGAGCGGTGCCGGCTGCCGTGACCCTCCCGCAGGAATGTCCTTTGTCTGGGCCGCGGCTTGGGAAGGCTGTCCCGCACCCGCGGGGATTTCTCCAGCAGGAAACCCCCCCTGCTCTCGGCACCTTCCTGGGAGCATCGCACTTGTGCAGCTGTGCTAAACTCTGCTTTGCGGGGCCCGGATCCTGCGTGGACCCACGGCGAGCCAGGGCCGTGACATTTCCAGGCAGGAGGGCGGTGGGAGCCGAGCTCGGTGCATCCACACGCATCCCTGCCCTAAAACCCGGCATGCGACACGTGCCTGCTCCCCGAGCACCAAAACCTCCCCTCCTGCCCCTCCTCGAGGGTCCCGGCTGGGCAGCGCTTACCTGGAGGTGCCAGGGCTGCCGTCCCCTGGGGGCACCAGGGGTCCGAGGGGGCCCGGGGCGTCCCGGCCCCGCTCCGGCTGCCGCTTTAAGCTGTGGCTTTTGATATTCGTGATTGGTTTCATAATCCCGATCAAAAGGAAATCACCAGGATTATGAAATTGTTTTAATCCTCCTGGCTCTGGCCGCACCGGCCCCTGCCAGCACGAGCAGCAAGAAAATCACTTTTATCTTCTTAAAATGTCCCCGGCCACCCTGGTGGGCCCCCATCACAGCCAAACGTGAGCCCAAGGGCTTCCTCCCCATGGGAGCTGACAACAGGGGTGATTCCATGGGGGACAGACCGAGCATCTTCCCGAGGCTGCTTCCAGGCAGGAAGGGCCAGCCGAGCTTTGTGTGGAAGGGCCCAGGGCAGAGGAACCATCCTCACCCTGTCCCCCAGCCCTGGGCTCCAACCTCCCCTGTGACCCATCCTTACCTGCAAGCCATTCCAAAAAGGGATCCTGGCTCCTTTGCCTGGGCTGTGGAGGTGACACACGCCCGGGAGATGTCCCCATCGAGCTGGGGTGAGGTGCCACAGCAGGGGTAGCAGGAGGGCTCCTGCCACCAGCCAGGGAATGCCAGCAGGGAGCCGTGGCTGGGATTAAAGCTCCGGGAAGCGGCTGCTGTGAGCAGCGACAGGCTTAGAGCGATTTCACTGGGCTCTCTTCTGGAGGGAGATTGATTGCAAGAGGCAATGAAGAGATTTAAAGAGCAAAATAAAAGCACAGACCCCAAACAACCCTGGGCTGGGCTGCTCAGCCTCTGGTCACCCACTGTGCTGGCAGGACACCACCTTGGACTGGGGATCGGCTGGAAAGAGGCAACCAAAGGCTCCCCAAAGGACCACGAGCCTTTGGCCAGCACAGCACAGTCTGGGCAGGAGGAGCTCCTGGCACGTTGGGTGTGAGCCCCTCTGCCCACCTCCACCTCCTCCCAGGACATGGATGTCCTCCACCTCCAGCCTCCAGCGACATCCCACGGCTCCCGAGAGCAGCAGGAGCCAATGCTCCGTGCGTGGATGCAGCACAGGGGTGGCACTTGGGAAGACACACACACAGACCAGGGACAAAAGAGCCATCAGATCATTGGAAAACAAAGAGCTTGTAATAATGAAAAAAGGACAGATTTCGTAACCAATCACTTTTTCCTTTGAAAAAACACAATCACATTAACTTTGCTTTATACAACCACCTAGAAACTATGAAACAGTATCACATTGTGCAGTATTATTATTTTTTTTTTTAAAACCTACTTATCAAGAAGGGAATTCCACACTTCAAAAATTATATCCATTTGGGGAGGGAGGAGGAGACAGCTAATAGCGCAGTCACAGATACATCATGAGTCCAAGCAAGCGGCAATTCTTTGTCCTCACCTTTTCCACTGAGCCAAAACCGAAGAGTGGAGAAGGGGAAAGCAAAAGAGAAAGGAGGGGGGGGGAAGAAAGAAAGCACCCACAGAGGACTAATCACACTCCATAATTACTTTTGACATCTACAGGGCTTCATAGAAAGATCATTTAGACCAACACAGCGGGGAGGGGGAGAGGAAG